GGGCGGGGCCCCCCCCCCCCCACCGCCCCCTCCGCGCAGCGCTGGCCAAAGCCATGACCCACCAGGTGCCTGCACTGGGCACAAGTGCCCTGACCTCCCCATCTGCTGCTGTTGCCAGGCAGCAGGGGCTGAATACCATGGGGGTGGGGGGGAAGGAAGTGTGTGTGGGGGGTCCTTCACACTCCCACCCTCCCTCACATCCCACATACCCACAACTTGCCCTCACAACCCCCGCTGACCTACATACACCCCAACATACCCTATGCCCCATTACACAGCCACACACTCACAACCCACCCCCCCACACAATATAAAAAAAGTTACACTTTATTTTTGAGTTATTATGCTATCCCTTCTATATACAATATACAATCACAAGTCATGACAAATACTTTTGTAATTAAATTAAAATACATTACAGTAGGTGTTTGACTTCTAGTGTAAGATTTGTTTTTTTCTGGTTCTAAGATGGCAACCCCACCTCCCAAAAGGAGTATGGGGGGCAGGTATCAAGGGGAGGAATTTCCAATGGCAAGGGACAGGACTTTCGGTCCCAGTGTGGTGATCGGGGGGCTGGGCAACTGTCAAGGAGCAGGGTGACCTACGTGGTCTCTAACAGCTCGCCAAAACTTGTTAAGCTGCCCTCCACCCAAAATAAATGCCCACCCTTTTTCTACATGGATTAATTAGTACTGCATAGCAGCAGTGACCATTAGACTGTCCCTGGTATCATGAGGACACAGCTAAACAGCTGCCACTTAGGAAGCAGGGCTGGAGTAGCACACTGAGCACCCCAGCATGTTTGAAGGTGCCGTTTTCAGGTATGGTATGTTAGGGTTCAGACATAGCTATAATGCTAAAGATAGGCACCTTCAACGCTCAAAAAAAAAATTAAAGTAAAAGTTTATTTAAATCCAATTACCGTTTTTCTTCATAATTTTCACACTTCCAAATTTTCTTCCTAATACATCATTTAAGTTCCGAAGTTTCTTCTGCTTTTTCTCCACGTGTTGTGTTACAGCCGTCTTATTACCCGGGGTTGAGGTTAAGATTATTACAGAATCCTGGAACGGAAAACAGAGATTAAAAATTTTAACATTATTTTCTGCTTTGATTGTTGTTTTCAACTGTTAACACTACCAATCACTGATGAGTGCTATTGAAATTGATAAGATAGTCCCCTCCAAAAAGATGAATTAATTCTGAAAGCTGAACAATTGCTTGATTCATGTTTCCTACAAATGGATAGCATACGGAGTAAGTTACAGTAAAAATATTATATTTGGAAAACTGACAGTGAAAAATGTCAGTTTTCCAAAAAAAAATAGTTGGGTCCTCGTTTATACTTTGATGCATCAGGAGATCGATTGATCTGTCTGCCTGCCTAATTATATAATTAGACACGCAGACAGATGAGGACCCAACTGACATTTTTTGAGAACAAAAACATCAAATCAGAACTATGACAGGTTCTGGATGCAGTTTCGGGAATCTGATTCTGAAGCCCAATGAGTAAAAGACCCAAAGAAAGGATTAAAGACTCAATTCACACCTTCTAGTAATGCAGAACTATAAATATACCACTTCCCAAATAATCATTCAATTCACATGATTTCTTAGTAGAAGCATATGTATAGGCTAAAAAATGACGTTTAAATTATTTCTTAAGTAAGACTCACGAAACTATGAAAGGAATATGGAATTTCTATTTTGCTCAAAATAGGAAGACTTACTTCACTTCCTTGCAATTTCCTCCTTTCAGCAAGAGCTTGCTGTCGAGACGAGCGTCTTACAGGCGTTTGCATGTCTTCATTAACCTTTGATCTATGATGTTGTATGGCCTTTGCTTTTTCAATCAGTTGTTTTGCTTTAGATATATTTTTAGAAGTGGAATTTACCTACCACAAAAGATAACCACAGTATTTGACCATTAACAGCTGTTTATTCTACATTTAAAGACTGACACTGGCACTCTACGAGTACAACATCCTTCACACAGATAGCATATAATTTGAAAAGGAATATGGTTGTGGGTATCACTGCTCCCTTTTAAGGGAAGAAAGTCTTTCCTACATTCTGCACAAGCACACAGCCACAAATAAATATGGACTAAACAGCGATCATAACCAAGCTCTCATAAATGTATTTATTTTTCACAAGGAGACACTGCAAGTGTTCAGGGTAGAAGGAAATGTCAACAGAGAATAAAACATGGAGCAGCAGCAACAGCAAACTAAGACAAACATTCAAATACAATTTGCTGACTATGATAGATACCTAATTGACAGCCCTGTAAATATTTGCTAATTTATCCACAGAACCACTAGTATAGCACAGGCAGTGAGAACTTAAGCTTCCTTGTATTGCCCTCCCAATCTTCAGGTCTCCAGACTATCTTTGGTGGTTGCTAAAACTGCCACCTAGAATGTCAGGAAGTGTCGAGTCAACGACACTCATTTCTACTGTATAACTGTACAGTAATATCACTAATAAGGATTTCTCAGGTATGCTGTGGAAAGCGACCTTACACCTTCTGAAGCATATTCCGAGATCTAAACAACAGTGACACTGAATAAATGTACACTGGTTAACTCTCCACTTAAGAAAATAGACTTGAAACCACTTGTGCATGAAGCAGACATCTATGAGCCAGAATGAGAGAGAAAAAAGTGAGAGTCCTCATCAACAAGAGGTAGTTGGCTGAACCTTGCCCATCTAAATAAGGATGATGCTGGGTTTGTTAGGATCCTGACCAGGAAATGCATCAGCCTCTACTCAGTAACTAGTCTTATAACTAAACCTCCATTCCCCCTACCCTTCTTGACTGCTAGAAAAGGAATTTGCTGCCTCCTTCCATCTCTCCACAACCCTCTGGCTGTTACAGAAGAGACAGATGTTAATGACTATTCTTCCATTTCTGGGGTTTTTTAGGTTGTGGTTTGCTCGCCCCTGCCCAAATTCCCGCTCACAGCCTTCCCAAGTGGCAACAAGAAACTAATGCAACTGTTGGGCGCCTATACACGTGCAGCGAGGCTGCTCCAACATGCTGTAATTACAACGCACCAGAGCAGACTCGATTAATTGACTCTGCTGGAGAGTAGTAATTACCACGCTCCAGCAGACTCCACAACGTCATCTGCATCAGCATCCCTGCACTGAAAAATGGTGGCAAGGGCACTTTAAAATGTCCCTGAAGCCATTTTTCTGTGCAGGGATGCTGATGAACGGGGCAATCCAGGTGCTTTAATTAGAATAGCTTTCAGAGCCGCTCTAATTAAAGCATGTCCCCCACCCCACAACCTGGAGCACATGTATAAGTGCGCCTTGACACTTACACTGCTTTCCATAGTACCCCAAACTAGTGAAACTGAAAAGTTCCATTTCACTCTGCAGTAATTTGGCATCCATCTGCATATTCAGGAAGGAAGAAAACCACCTTAGATTACATTCCCCTTCCAGATTTTATTTTAAAAAAATTTAAATTCTGCAATAGTTCATAGTGCAAGTGGCCTCATTTTGGATTTTGAGGTTTCAGGTGGTTGATGTTATACAATATTATGCACACAGTTCAGTATTTAACAAGTGATCTTTCAAACATGGAAAGTGAAATGCAGACTTGCTTATTTAAATTACCTTAATACTACTTGGAATAAATTCCTCGTGTTCCCTTGCTTCAGTTTTGTTTGATTTTTTAGATGCACCAATTCGAGTAAATCTCATTCTAAATAGGGAAAAACATTATGAAATGTATTATTATTATTATTATTATTTTTTTTTTTTTTTTTAACTAAAAAGATGCCTCGTTCTCAACCTCAGATTCAGTAGATTTAAAATGTCCTGCTCTAAGTGAAAGGAAAAAATCTTAATCAAACTGACCAGATATATTTTTCCCTCTAGGATCTTTCAATCCTAGAGTAAGTTAAAAGAAATCAGTTATATATTGCTATTCAACTGACCCATTACATCTATAGGATACCTAGAAATGTTTCCCAATCCACCCATCTATAACCTCACTCCTATTGATGAGCATTTAAAAACAACCCCCCCCGCACCTCCACTATTTCAGAAGATAAAAACATACTTAAGCAAAATATAAGACAGTCTTAAAATTGAAACTTTTACCTTATTGGGCTCTTTGCATCATAGGGTACAGTAATCACCTCAGCCTTATATATATTTTTCTTCCTATTGCTTGCTTTTGGAGTAGAAGCCTGGAGAGGACCATCACCTAGTGCATCTTCAGAAAGAGCATCTCTAAGCCTACATTTTTCAGGTGTAATATTTTTGGATGTTTCCACTGTCTTTTGTCTTACACTTCTCCTTAATTTCTTCTTTTTTGGACTCGAAAGTATTATTATACTATCTGAGCTTGTTTTCTTAATCTGAACATTATCCTTTATACTTTCATCTTCATTATGACTAATACTATTTGGAATAAGAATATTTGTTCCCTTGGTCTCCAATATCTTCTTCTTTTTCCTTTTAAGTTTATTGGTTCTCTCCTTTGGAATGCTACCATTTTCAGTATGACCATGTGAATGTTTATCAGCATAATCCTTTGGTATTTCACTTTCCAGACTTTTATTTGAGACAGCTTCACCTTCTTCTATTCCCTGTTTTTGTTTTGAAGACTTTTCATTAATTTCCTTTACTTTCCCAGGTATTTTTTTTACTCCGCTTTTCACTACATCAGAAACTGGTTGTTTAAAAGCTTTCATGAACTGGTGTCTTTCTTCTACAGTACATTTTGGCTTTGCAGCTTCAGGACCTACAGCTTCTAGGACAGCCAACTCCAATTCTTCCTCCTCTATAACTACATTAGATTTTCTCTTCTGAGAAATCTGATCAGTCTGTTCAATCTCTAAGATATCTGGACTACTTTCTTTTTCAATTTCAGACCCTTTATGCTTCAAAAAGATAGAAGCTATTTTTCTAGAAGCTTTTTTCTCTTTTAGGAGAGAGGCAGATTTGGGGGGAATGGGATGAACTTGTGCAAGGACTGTCACAGTTCTAAGTGGTAGCTGCTGGGATCCTTTGCAGTTTTCAGGGTCGCTGGTACTATCACTCTTGTCCATTTCATCTGTTGTAACAGTACTGTCAAATGTTGGCATTTTGGCTTCCTGAATATGATCCATGTTTTCTTCTTGACTTTTCAAAAAGTCCTCAAACGATACTGTGATTGTGCCATCGGTTAACTGGGATGCCTCCTCCACATTAGTTTCAAGACTTAAATCACTTAGAGTATTCTGACTTTCTATTGTTTTAAGATGCAAGATTTGTTTTTTATCTTGACATTCCTTTGTAGACTTTTCATTCAGCTGGTTTTCAGAGGAGAAACTTTTGGACAAATCCGAACCATCTTTGTGCTTCCTCTTCCTTGATCTTTTTAGTTTATTTTTTGTTCCATTTAGTTCAGAGCCAGTTTTCTTTGCATCTTTTCTGCAAGTGACAGCATTTGGAGACACTTTGCTTTGCTGCTTATCTTCTGCTGGCCCTTCTACACATTTCTGCACAAGTGAGGTAGAACTACTGCTGGCAACAATATCAGCCTCCAAGCAATCTTCCTTTGGCTCTATTGTTTCTCTACTGTCATCACTGGTAATTTCTATCACACATTCATTGTCAGGTATTTGCATCTCTTTCAATTTATTATTTAAGTTAACTCTCTTCCCTTTTCTCTTCAGCTTTGAAGAAGTTTTCAAAGTCGATTTAGAATCTTTGCTGCCAGCGCCGAGCTGCTCAGCTGGACTTATTTTGTTTTCTCCAGATGCAACAGGTAAAGCGATCTTCTCATTTGTAAGAGGCGTCTTTTTAAAATAATCCAATATGTTGTTAGATTTTGGCGGTGACAACACTTTATCCACATTTTTTGCTAACGGCGAAAAATATTTCGTAATGGTTTTTATGGGAGGATCTTCCTCTCTTCGTTTCTTGCATGGCTAGTAATGACAAATCAACATTAATTTTCATTAAAAGACTGAATCAGGTACACGTGACCGTAACATCGAATATTATATAGTTAAGCTCCTTGGGAGAGAAACAATTCTGAAGTCCAGGTCACTCCCTCTCAGAGGAAAGTCACGTTGATACTTTAAAACTGCATGATTCAACATTAACGACGTCTTTCCAAAAGACGTCTAAACCTGTAAATAAAGCGAGCCAGCATCTTTGTAAAGAGGGAATTTAAGGGTCTTCACCTTGAGCTGTGCCTATGTGACAGACCCACTGAACCTGCGCACAGCCCCCCCGTGTCCTTCTCCCTCGTCCCCTCCTGTTTACTCTCTCTCATGGCATCAGCATTAAAGTACAAATGTAAATTAGATTGCTTTTTACACAGAAGTGGAAAGTCTGCCTTAAAAAGGTCTGCCCATTGAAAGTTAATTTCTTAGTTAAGGAAGTGTATCTTCAGGAAAATTTAGCCACGATTCAGGGCAACAACCGGAGTATCTCTTAGCACAGCACTCGGCCCAACAGAAACCGAACCCCCACAGTTTTACTGCAATGTGGAGACTTATCGCGTCTCAAGGAAAAGGAACGATACATTCAGACTGTCTTCGGAAAGGGACAGCAGCCCGTTTCACCTCTCTCCAAGGAAAAGAAACCCTTGCTACACGTCCATTTGACTGTCGATTTGTCACGCTCCCGATGAAACCAGAGCCGTGAGGAACAAGCGTGGTTTTGTAATAACTTCCTGCGGGGAACCGAGCGGTTCGCAACCCCGAGCCTCCCGTCCAAAGAGCGGGTCCGGCTCGTTTTGCCGGCAGATGGCTACGCAGCTCTGAGACCGCACCTGTTATTTCGGCTGGGGGCAACGGGCGCGCGCGAGAACGAGCATGTTTGTGAGTCGCACGACCGACGCTAATAAAAGCCTCCCACACGTACAACCGTTTGGGCTGGACCCAAGTCACCCTCAGAGCGTCTCAGCCCACGCTTGCCTCAGTTATTAAAAAAATAAAATAAGGGTTTTGACGCCTCGCCGGCCCTTTGCAGCGCCCGAGGCCGCGGGGACGGTCCTGTGGGAGCTTCCCCCACGGTGCTGTGGGCGCCCCGGTTTAAACTGCAAGTGACAGCCCGTTCCCAGGGGGCCCCTCCGCGCTCCTACCCCAAAAGCCTCGTCCCCGCGGCCGCGGCCCACCTCAGCGAGCGCCCTGACAGGCCCCGCGGGGCCGCCCGTGCAGACCAGGCTCAGCTGTTCGTC